GTCCCACGGGGGGCCGAGCGCCGCCAGGCAAGCGATAATCGCCACTGGAAATCTTGACGTCGAGCCCCCCTCCAAGACCGCCAGGAGCGCCACCGGGGCCGTCAAGAACCTCGCTGGGGCCACCGGCCACGCCAGCGGCGCTGCCGAGTCCGCGGTGGCCGCCAGGGGCGGCGCGGAGCCTGGCTGTGCCGCCGAGCCCGCGATTCGCGCCAGAGGAAATTTTGGCGCCGATTCGACCTGGCGCCGCCAGGAGCACTTCTGGGGCCACCAGGCACCCTGGCGGGGCCACCAGGCGCGCGGGGGTCACGGGCGAGCAACAACCGCGGCAGCGACGCGCCATAGACCGCAGGAACTGCCGGCGCACCACCAGCACGCTCGCAACTTCCCGAACTGGCACATGGACAAGTCCAGCTCGGCGACCTCTGGGGGGCTCTGCATGCACATGACGACGCGCCGAGGATCGGCGCGCGTGGGTCCCCACGCCGAAGCCGCTGCGAGAATGGCCAGGCCCGACTTCATCAGCTCGTTCTCCACCTCCGCTGACTGGACCCAGCAGCGGAAGCCCCTGGGTTGGGCCCGGGAGCGCAAGGCTAGGCGCCCAGCAATCGAGAACGTCGTCAACAGCACCTTGGAAATAGTGCACCAGCAGCGCCGGCTACAAATGAGCCAGAGGACCCACTCCACGACCCAGCTTCGCGCCAGGCCCCAGCGATCGAAAGTCTGGACGTCCAGACGAGGCCGCGCGCGGAGGCCCCAGCTAGCCAAATCCCCCATCAGTTGGGCCTCCGCTCCGCAGCATTCTCGAACGAATCGACATGCGGCCTGTCCCGCGAGGCCACGCTGGCTGCCGCGCCCGCGCACAGCGCCTCCTCCAGGTCCTGGAGGGCGGAGGCGTCTGCGGGGTTTTTCAGGCCAGCCAGCGCCCACCCGCGCAGCCACGCGCGGGAGCCCCGCCGCTCCCGGCGGCGCCAGAGGGATCGCGCCACGCAAGGGGGGGTCGGGGCCGTCACCGCCGCCATCGACGCGCGGGAGGCGGGGGACGCCGAATGGTTAGGGCCCCAGGACGCCGCGAAGTCCGCGGCCAGGAGAGGGGTGAGCACCGCGAACATGGCGTGAGCACTGCGAACATGGCGCACTCGTTCCGGGCGGCCTGGCTGGACGCAATTACCTGCAGAGGATTCGTTCCCCTCCCCGCGCCGCGCCCCCGATGCACACGGAAAAGGACCGAGAACAACGGCCGTCGGGGGAACGCGGCGAAGACGGCAGCGCCGAAGAATTCCAGCAAGCTGAGCCAGGTGGTCGCCCCGCACAATGCGAGCATTAAGCCCGCGCGCGCACTCGACAGGCGCCGGCTCGGCGAGGCTCCCTGGAGCCTGTCCAGGCCCAGCACCTCCGCACCAACCACGGTGGCCCCCCTGGCGCCCGCCACTGCCCTGCCTTCGCCGGGGCGAAAGCCACTCGGTTCACAACCCCCCCCGGCAGCCTCGAAAGAGAGGCGACGGGCCCGACGGCTTCGAGCCCGGCCGGGCGGGCCCACCGCAATGCCAAGGTGCTCGTCCAAGACGGCGCCCCGCCCGAGCCCGCCGGCGGCCTGCAGGCGCCGCTGCAGCCAGGGGCTCGCCAGGGAGAACCCCCCCCCCGCCTGGGCCTGCAACGTCACGCGGGCTTCGCGGGCCCAGCTCGCGACGTCGAGCCCGCCCAACGAGGTCGCCACGGCGAGGCAGCGCCTTTTCGGGCAGGGGGCCGCCTTCGCACCGGCACCGGGCCTCCGTGCGTTTTCAGAGCGGCCAAGCCCTCGCAGGCTCCTGGCGGCCACGGAAGCGCAACGCCGCGGGCTCGCGTCATCTCGACGCTGCAGTCGAAGGCTATAGGTACTTGTCCTGCAAGTCGTCGGCCCAGATCCTCACCATGCGAGTCATCAGGACCTCCAGGTCGACCAGCATGGACCCGCTCGGCGTCCAGCATGGAAAGCCCCGCAGGGGGAGCTCCGCGGCTTCCTGGGCGATTCGGTTGAAGATCCCCCGCCGCGTCTGCGCGTGCCCTTGCACGCAAGGAATAGCGTGCCAGGGCGCCTCTGATCAGGCCCCGCCGCCGCGACGCGGCGGGCGTCGATGAGCTCCACGCGGCCAACCCAGACATGCGACGCCCTGATTGTTCCAATACGGGGCCCCTGGAAGCCCCGACCATTTCCCCGAGTCTTCTTGTGACTACCCCGAGGCCCGGCGACGGCTCCGGCCACGGCCGAGAAAAGGCGGAAGCCCCGGGCCTGCCCCTCGCCCCAGCCGCCGCGGCCCCACGCCCCCGAGCCCCCCCCGGAACGGAACCGGGTCGAGGGGGCACCCCCCTTCCGAATGAGAAAAAAGAACACACAAACAAACGAACAAACAAACAAACAAACAAACAAACAAAAACAAAAACAAAAAAAACAACCAAACAAACAAACAAACAACCAAACAAAAACAAACAAAAAAAAACAATAATAATAATAACAGCAACAACA